TCCTAAGCCCTTGTAGCCTCAGCTGCCGCCCCCCTCCCCGGGAGGAGAAGTTAAAATCTAGGAAGAAGCTCAAGAAGATAAGGGAAAGAGGCTCGGCGCCTGTGGCTCAAGCGGCTAAGGCGCCAGCCACCTACACCTAAGGTGGTGAGTTTGAATCCCCAGCCCGGACCTGCCAAACAACAATGATGGCTGCAACCAAAAAATAGCCAGGCGTTGTGGCGGGCGCCTGTGGTCCCAGCTACTTGGGAGGCTGAGGCAGGAGACTCGCTTGAGCCCAGGAGTTGGAGGTTGCTGTGAGCTGTGATGCCACAGCACTCTACCCAGAGGGACAGCTTGAGGCTCTGTCTCAAAAAATAAATAAATAAATAAATAAGGGAAAGAAGGGAGGCAGGGGTGAGCCCTGGGTGAAAAGGGCTGGAGTTGGTTTAAGGCCCAAGCTGTTCTCGGAAATTTACTGTATCTTAAGTTAGTATGTACCCCCACCCTGAATTGTGTAACCCTTTATAATGCACCCCATCTTATGATGATGAAGTAATGTGTATCTTGTGATGTATGAATCAATATGTACCCTCACCTTGTGACCCTGCTCTAACTGCTATGATTGGCTTCTGTATTGTGCTAGCTTGCTGACCCTACAAAATAATGATATAAGAAGGCACTTCACCTGCCAGTCGGGGCGGAATGCCTTTGTGGTGATCCAGCCCGCCTGCAGGCGTTAATAAATTTTATCAATTATTGCATCAAATAATTGCAATAATTAATAATAATCAAATTGCCTTTTTATCGCCATGGCTCTGTCCCACTTTACTACACAAAACAGAAACGACTTCTGCAGGCTCAGACAAGGCTGAAGGTGTAGAAAGAGCTCGTTAGATAAAAACATTTTTAAAATATTGTGTACCATCTTCCAGATTCTGTGTGTATCCGAGGTCTGCTAATTTTCAATATCAAAAAAAAGCACTAATGGGGAAGGAAAAATGAATGAAGTAGATTTCATTTAAGATCTAAAAACCATTAAAGACATATAGTGGACTACATTATATAGTGTAATGTTACTACACTTACTAGTGGATCTGTCTATACAGGTCAAACCCAGGTGTAGATCTATCTATACAGATCAAATCCATATAGATTCACTTATATGTGGATGTTTTCCAACTAAAAGCAGATCAAAAAGACAGTAACTGCAGGCTATGAAACCTGCATGCACAGAGGGCAATTTTCTGTCTGCACGAGTTCCACAGGGCTGTCTCTGGGACTTGAGTATGTTTGGATTTGGGTATGGCAAGGCAGGGAAAGGGGCAGTCCCAGAACCAATCCCGTGTGTACTGAAGGCAACTGTAGTCCAAGTGAAAAGGCAATGTGTAGATGGGGAAAAGATTCGCAACGTAATTCTGACAAGGTACTGATAGACAAAGTATATAAAAAACTTCTATTAAGCAATAAGGAAAAGATAAACATCCCGGTTAAAAATGAGTAAGACTGAGCAGGCCATGGTGGCTCATGCCTACAATCCTAGGAGGCTAAGGCAGGTAGACTGCTAGAGCTCAGGAGTTCGAGACCAGCCTGAGCAAGAACCTTGTCTCTAAACAAACAAACAAAAAAATAGCTGGGTGTTGTGGCGGGGGCCTGTAGTCCCAGCTACCCGGGCAGCTGAGGCAGGAGAATCACTTGATCCCAAGAGTTTGAGGTTGCTGTGAGCTGTGACATCACGACACTCTACCCAGGCTGACAGAGTGAGATTCTATCTCAAAAAAATAAATTAAATGAAAAATTTTTGAAAAGTAATAAAATGTAAAAAATAAAAATGGACAAGGCTGAAAGAAACTATACATGTAACAAATAAGCATAAAAAGTGTCAAGAACAATAATCATCAGGACAATACAAGTTACGCCCACAACAAGATGCCACTTCAAACACATGAGGATGGTTGAAATTAAAGAGACCGATATCACCAAAGGTTGACGAGAAAATGGAGCAACTGGAATTCTCATATGCTGCTGTAGGAGTACGAAATGGGACAGCACCCTGGAGACCAACACACTCTCATCATATGACCCGGTAGCTTTCCACATAGAGGAAAGACGATGTGTGTCCACAGAAAGACGGGCTCACGTCAGCCAGAGCTGAGAAGCAATCCACGCGTCCATCACCAGGAGAATGAGCGAACGGGGGCATAAATGTATAATACCATAGAAAGTATTCTCAGCAATAAAAATGCACAAGCCACTGATACCCACAATACTGTGGCTGACAGGACAGGTGTTAGGTTGGGTATAAGAAGTCAAGCTCAGGAGAACAAGCCGTAGGGTCCTATCTACACGAATTCCAACAAGAAGCAAAAACTAATCTCTGGTGACAGAAATCAGAACCGTGCTTGCCTCTGGTGGGGGCTGGAGGGATGGCTGGAATGCAGCCTGCAGGGAGAAAAATGTTTTCTATAACTTAATTGCAGTTGGAGACCCAGGTGTATACATTTTGTTGAAATGCATCATTCTTGTAATCCATGCATTTTACCACATATGAATCATACATTTATAAAAGAGATGATGTTAAGTCAGTATCTTAGAAAGCCCAAGGGCCAACAGAACCACTCTGGCACCCTCCCCACCCTGCCCCATCTCCTCTGTACTATCTTCCGGATGCATCTGGCTCCACCCCCGGTCCCAGGGAAGCCTTCTTCCTCTGGCTCACAGCCTCTGTATTACAGAAGAGTTATTATATTCACTTTTTACCATCTGTGTTAGAGAGAAGGATGGGTTTCCCCCCAAACATGCCCACATCCTAATCCCCTGAACCTGTGAATATGTCACCTTGGCAGCAAAAGGAAACTAAGGTTGCAGATGGAATCAGGCTGCTCATCAGCTGACTTGTTCCACATTAGTGAGGTGGGCCCGTGTGATGCACAAGTCCTTAACAGCAGAAGAAGGAGTCGTCAGTTGGAGAGACACACAGAAGAAAGACCCCACTCACAATGCAAACGGAAGACGGGCCACAAGCCAAGGACTGGAACAGCCCACAGAAGGTGGGAAACCCAGAGAAATGGTTCACCCGATATTACAGAAAGGAACACAGCCTTAGCACCATCTGACATCGGCCACAGTGACAGCCATGGCCATGCCTGCATCTACCCAGATAGAGAAGGCTGCTGTATCAAGGGGACCATCCTACAGAGTAGGGTGTGGGTGGCAGCAAGGGCAGCCTTCTAAGAATCTCTGCCTCCCACAGCAAACACAAGCCATTACCCTCTGGAAGCTCTTTCCGTGGTATGTGTATCAGCTCAGCAGGCACCACCTCGTCCACCTGCCCCGGATGGAGACACAGCCAAGGGGGTCAGGGAGAGCCACCCACTCTTATCTGGTGGCCTTGGCGCAATGCTGGCAGGAGGAACCCATGGCAGGGAGGAGGCAGCTCCAAGCGGCCCTGCCTCTTCCTGCCCGCTCTCTGGGGGATGGAGAAACGCAGGAAGGCTCAAAGGCCCCTGGACCCAGGTGTGGCGTGGCCAGCAGCGCCCGGCACTGGCATACCTGAAAGGCTAGAGGGGGCGGTGATTCAGCAGCTCTGAAAACAGTGCTGGTAGGGAAGGTGCAGGCCCAGCTCAGGAAGAGGGGGGCTGGTTCTTCCTCTAGACAAAAGGGCCACAGGACAGGGACAGTGAAAGTATCCAGGGAGGGTGAGCTGAGCCCCCGGGCTGTGGCCTTCACAGGCCAGCGAGGTGGGGCAGGCTGCCAGCAGGACAGAATGGGTGGGTGCTGGCAGGGCCAGGAGGTCCTGCCTGTACTGGGGGCTCAGTATCCTCATCCCACATCCAGAGAAACATGCTCCCACTCCCTCCTGACCACCGACCCACCCTGCCGCCTTCCGGCAGAGGACAGTCCCAGCTTCCTGTGTATGTTAAGTGTGGGGTACGCTCTACCACCACACCCTACAGTACCATCTGAAGCCTGAGCCTGACTGGTATTCAACAACTGCATGAACTGACACTCCTCAAAGTCAAGAACCCAGATAGAAAACCTGTCATGGCCTCTGGATAAAGACCTCGAGGTCTCTCCAGCAAGGCTCAGGGAGACGTGGCAGGTGGGGGGACGCGGCGGGCAGAAAGACATGCCTAGCTATGCAGAGCACATGTAGTTCCAATCGGGGCTGGGGGCAGGGGGGCTCCCTGATGAGCCCCTAGACTGAGAACCTCAAAAATAGGCCAAAAGACACTTCGGAGCTTAGCTCAGAGGCCACAGGGGGCCACACGAGGACACACGGCAAGGTCAGCGACTGCAGAGTGTGCACAGCTGCTCCTGACACGTGTCTGCAAGCCTGGGAGCCTACAAAAAGCCCGACACTGTTCACACGTGGACGGATTTCTGCTCATAAGACACAGTTTCAATTTTCCCCGACTTTCACATATATATATTTTTCTCAGTACCGTTTTATATAAGTGGTCTCCTCGTAACATTTTAATCAATGCAATCTTCTGGCAATCAATTCAAAAGTGATTTTCAGCAAGCGCTATATCTGGAAGTTCTCAGAGAGAAGCTGAGATGACTTCCCACCGCAAACGCAGAGCTCTTTGGAGCAGTTTTTACGGAGGCGTTCATGGGTGGCTTTAGGGGAGGCATGGGAGATTCTTGCCTGAAAATGAGAAGCTGCCTGTTTCATGACACAGGTACAAGAGATCGAAAAAGAAATTAACCCAACCCCCCAAGCCTTTCCCTGACAGCTGAAGCACATGGTCCAAGTTTTCTGGGACGTGCGCTAAGCAGCCTCGTCACTAAAAGCTTCCACACCATCTTGTGATGCATTTCTGGCTTGGACGGCGCCCAGAGGAACGGAATCAACCAACCTGTTTCCAAAGGCCTAGAGCCGCTCTGGATTGTGGAGCAGCCTTCCTCCGTGACACGGAGGCTGCGTCCTGCCACACACTAGTGTAACGGACCGCGCCAGCCACAGGCCTGGGAGGGGCTGGAGAACCCAGGGTGGGCTGGCAGTGCGGCGCCCGCCTTACCTGCCTGGCTGTCCTTTGGCTTGCACTGGACTTCCTCCACGCACTCGGCCGGGAACCATCCGATGTGGCCGCGGGCGCTGCCCTCCCAGAAGCCCCCTTCACCGATGCTCAGAACTAGAGGCAACAGAAGGGGAGAGGAATTAGTGGAGGCCTCGGAGGGTGAACAGGAGGGAGCGTGGGGCAGAGGCAGGAGGAGAGCCAGTGCCCCCTCAGCCAAGCCTGCACAGGGGTGGCTCTGGTCCATCTGCCCACTGACCGTGCTTCCTTCACTGCAGATAAGGGTCCCTGGTAAAGTGTCCCTCGCAGAGCCAAGAGGCATAGCCTCTCCAGCTCCCGGGCGTCCGTCATCTTTACGCATCTCACACCACAAGCCACAAGATTCCACACACAGAGCTAGCTACCTTGTGGCATCTCTCGGTGTCCTACATGAGACAGGACTGTGGTCACTGGATGTTCTCACCACCAGTGATCTCAGATAGAAAGACAGGGGCCACCTCTAAGGGGACAGGAGACAACAAGGACATGCCTGTCCCATAGCCTGGGCAGGGGCCGAAGGGCTGAAGAGAAAATCTAACTGTCAAGCTCTGTCTAGACCTTTTAACCAGCCTGAAGCAAGAGATCAAGGCAGAAAAGCAGCCCAAGAACCATCCGATGATCTCAGGAAGGGCTGAACGGAAAGATTTGTTGGGAGTCATGCCCACCTCGCCCACTGGCATGCTGACTTAATAATTACATGCCTTCCAGCAAGGACTGGGGATTTCTTCCTGAATTATGGCTGAAAAAACCCAATCCGCTTAGAGGCCAGGCATGGTGGTCTCACAGTGACCTTGTCCTGGGGACTGCTGTGTACAGCAAGGCTGCCCTAGCCTGCTGGGGGTGGGGGGTGGATGGTGGTGGGCAGTGCTGGGTCCAGGCTGAACCATTCCCTCCCGGGCTCAGTGCCAGGTGCACAAGAGGTCCTGAGCATGGCTGGAAGAACAAAGCATGTCCATTCTTACACTGGAAACACAAAACCAAAGATACCAGTGGTAGGGGGATGTCACAAGGACACCTAGTCCCCCTCATCCCCACTGTGATCAATACTATGGCTGTACGGGCAAAGCCTATGGTGGGGTGGGGCAGAGGGAATCTTTGTATCTTGAGACTATGGCACTAGGCTGGGTATGTCCCCCAAAGCCCTTGGCCCCCTCAAACATGGCTATGTGATGGACAAATCAATATAATCTCTCCACAGCTTCAAGTTCTACATCACTCGGCATCTGAAGGCACCAGGTCTGTTGAAAAAGACTTCACAGAACCAGAAGTGTTTTCCTCCAGCCTTCATTTTAACCTCAGAGGCCAGATAAAGAACCACTCAGCCCACAATTTTTAAAAGTTAATGGAACTGAAAATCCAGGCTTTATAAATTCTTGCCTAATAATCCAAAGAAATGACCTCAGTGAAATAGACAAGCAGCACCCCAGGTGAGCAGTACCATCATAACCACTGGAAGCAATTGCCTCCAAAAATCAAGGCTGTGCCCGAGACTCCACTCGGCCAGTTGGCCAGATGTCCACTGGGTCCCAGCAGAGTCCTGGGTCTGAACAGGTCATCTCTGAGCACTGCCCTGGGCCACAAAGGGAGGTGAGGGGCCTGCTCCAGGGCTGCATGAGCCGAGGCCCATGTAGAGACCTGTCCTCCTATCTTCATGGCTTCAGGCTGGTGATTCCTCTGTCTTACCAGGCCCAGGGCAGAAGGGACGGGCAGGGGAGAAGGACAAGGTAGAGACGGGCACCTCCTTCAGCGAAGGCACTGCTACACCTTATCTACGGGACACTTGAGATAACTTCTTAATCGCTCTGTGCCTCAGTTTCCTCATTAGCCAGAGCTGGAAAATACTGCTTAGCTCACAGCATTGCTCTGTGAAAAATGGGAGCAATGGCCAGCGTGGGATAGGGACTCAATCACTGCCTGCTCACTTCCTTCCAAAGCCCCTGCCTGGGAGGACGCCGCTGCCTAGTCACGTTTGATCACTATCAGGCGTACACGTCTGGGTGCGTTACTGTTATTATGAGACCGACACAGGGCAGGAGAGGCTGTTTACAGCCAGCGTGAGGCAGCAGAGAGGCTCAGGTGGCAAAGCAGAAGGGGACCGACAGAAAGGCATCACTGGTGTGGGAGCCCCCCACTCCCGGCTGGTCTAGGGACACAGGGGAGACAAGCAGGACCTGTATTGAGACTGGATGCAGGGCTGGAGGTGGGGGGAGGCCAGGGTCCGCTCCTGGGCTTCTGGGCCTGTAAATGGCAGCTGGCTGCCCTATTAAAGAGGGGCAAGGAGGACGTGGAGCAGGGCTCCGGGCCCCACCTGAGCACCCGGCACTTCCAGCGAGCAGTTTGCATTTCCCAGGCTCCTCTGCAGTCGCTTCTGGGTCCTGCACACTCATGTGCTGGGCACAGGGCATGGATCTGAGCTTGCACACTCGGGGTTTTGCCTACCGAGTTCTCAAGGGCAGGCTTCAAATGCTTCCCTGGCGGGAACACCTGTGTCCAGGAAGGGGCATTCCTTCCCTGCACTATGGAGAGAGCGTTACGTTTGACTCCCAGCCCTGTGCAAGGCCATGTGGGGACAAGAGGGTGTCCGTTCTGTGGAGCAGAACACGCAAGAGAGCCAGGCTGGGATGCTGAGGGAGCAGGGACGGGGGGAGGTCCCACTTTCGTGTGGCTTCACCTTCAACTTGGGGATCACAGGAGAGCCAGACCAGGTGGATTCCCCACCTTCCCTCACTGCTTCAGAGAGACCAGAGAGGGCCCCCACCCTGCAGCCTCAGACTTGAGGGGAGCCAGGATCACAGGAGGACTCACTGTACCAGAGGGGTAGGGAGAACTGTCCCCGCCACACCTGGGGCAGAAGGCAGGATGTGGAAACAAGGGGGCTATGGTGAAGTGGGTCTGGAGAGAGTCAGGGGAGCTCTGGAGGATGAGGCCACACAGTGAAGGGCTGGATGGAGAATGGGGGGACACACCACACCCAGAGAGTCACCACTGGGGGAGGGGCATTTATAGCACATCCGGGGCCCCTGGACACCCCTCAAGCAGTGTGGAACGTCCCTTATGTTGTGTCCATTCCAATATAAAGGATGTCACTCCCTGCCACAGACTAATGACCTCTCTTACAAACACAGTTAGTGGAAAACAACATTCACTCCCTGTACTGGATAAGCCGGAGCAGAGGCTACTGCCCGGCACCCTGCTATACCCTGCCTCCTCCCCTGACAGGAGGAGGTGGCCCACATGTGTCCACTCCATCCCACCCCACCCTGCCTGGGCACGGAAACCAGCCAGGCCACAGGAAGAGCTGGGAGAAGCCAAGACGTCCCCCCAACTTCCTCTGCTCTGCATCAAATGTCCTTATTTGAAACATACCCCCAGGCCATCTTCAACTTCCAGCCATGGAGGACTTTTCTCCAAATATGTGGTCTTCAGTTTAAATGTGCTCAGGACTTACTTGGGCCAGGGACCATGCTCAGTTCTGGGGTCACAAAGATGCTGCAGGGGTGGGGGTGGACACCCAGGAGAGCAGCCTGGGGAGGTCTCCTGGATGCCTGCTTCTCTTCTGCTTCCTCCTGGGCCCCCTTCTCTTCTTCCTCTGGGGCTAAGCCGAACATGTGCAGTTGGGGCCTGGCTCTCCTGGCCAAGAGCCACTCTGGGCATGCAGGTGTCCACTGAGCACCAACCGTGTGGAATCATGGCATAGTAAATGCCTCCCAGACTGAGCATGTCAATCAGCTTGGGACTGGAAGATGGACCATCAGCCACACGTGGCCCAGAGCCACCTTGCATGACTAGTTGACCTGCACATCCAGACAGCCCACCAGGGCATTCTCTAGATGTCGTCCTCGGCTTCTGTTGCCCTAGACGATGAGGCAGCCCTCCTGCCCTGCCCATTGACCTTCCTTTAAATCCCCCCCACCAACGCTCTCAACTGCAGAGGTGCCCAGCTGGGGAGCTTTCTGAGGTCTAGCCCCAGTGATGGCCGACCTTGAGTTATGCCTAGAAGAGGGTGTGAGAGGTATGGGCTAGAGGACGTGATCCCGTTTAGGGGACAGTGCAAGAAGGTCCTTGAGCCTGGGCTCCACTGGCCCCCACGCCCTGGTCTGGCCCTATGGGTAGAACTCACAGAAGCTGTGTGGCCAGCAGCACTACCACCACCTTGGCCCAACATGGTGGTCCCTAGTGCACCCCCAGGATGTCCTCCTGTAACCCCAAAACCCTCAGAAGCAAGAGGAAAATGCAGCACAGGCAATGGTCCAAATGCAGGCAGCAATTACCAGGGCAGGGGTTTCCACGCAGCCCACAGAGCTGATGAAACTATAAAAACAGGCTCGAGTCCAGGGAAGGCCAAGCACTCAGCAGCAGCGTTCTAAATGCCTTCTAGTGAATGAGGTGCCTCACTGGCCACCAGCCAACCACTTCTAAAACGCCAGTGACCTCGGCATCACCGGTGAGTCTGCTGCACTGTCAGTGCCACTGAACATGATTCAGTGTTCAGAGGAAAAGAGTCTACTCTGTGATTTTAATATTAAAACTCAAAAGAGCAGGTTGTGTGAATTTCTACATTTGTAATTTCAAAACTAACAAAAATACCATGTTAAACTATATTGGAGCAATCTGGGAATATCTGTTTGGATATGATGGACAAAGACCTTAACGGACAACACCACTGAAAACAATTCTAAAATCTGAACATAATGCAAAAAGCAGCCACTTGAAGGGGCTAGAAACGGAACAGAAGCAGCCAGATTCTGGCAGGGACACAGACCTGCCCAGAGCACAGGGCAGGGGACCTACATAAGAAAGTGCCTTCTCTGGTTTTTTTTTTTTTTTTTTTGGTTTTTGGTTTTTTTGACACGTTTTCCAGTTGTGCATCCATGGCTTTTACCTTGAACTAAATATAGTCACACAGCATCGCCAGCACCAGAGGGGCACATGCAGAAACCCCTGCCGCATAAATAGCCCAAAGAGGCAGGAAGGAGGAGGAGCCAGGAAGCCATGAACTTGAAGAGTGTGCGGAAGTCCCTGCAAGGGAAAGAGCCAGAGAGGGGATGGAAAATTGAGACTCCCCTCCTCTCCAATAGAGCCCCAAGCAAGGTACCCAGAGAACTGGCTCAAAACAGCTCAGCTAAGTTTGTGGTATCTTAACCAGTGTAGCGCTGTCACCTGAGCAAACTGGCAAAAGGAAGGGAAGGAACTCACGGGTGAGAAACATCCGAAGCCAGAATCTCTACAACTTAGTGTGCTAATGTGCAGAACACAACAGAAAATTACAAGACACACGAAGACCTGAGACAGCGGTTCTCAAACCGTGGGTCGCGACCCCTTTGTAACAATGAAAATACATCGCAGCATTAGGAAGGTTGAGAACCACTGACCTAAGACAATGAAACACGTTCTCGAGAAAAGAGAATCAACTGAGCCCAAACCCAAGATGAACCCGATGTCGGAATCTACATATTGGGATTTAAAAATGGCAATTAAACGCCAATCCACAATGTCTTAAAACGTGTGTTTTCAGTGAGCAAAAAACCTTATTAGAGTAAGGAAGTCTTGGCAAATAAAAAGAAACAATAAAGTCATACACATGGAAACCCTAGTAAACATACAATTTCTGAAATCATGAAACTCACAAGATGGATTTAATAGAGAAGTTTCAAAAGAAAAAGGAAGTGAACTTAAAAACAGATCAGTAAAAGTGTAAGGTGAAGAAAAATGATTGAAATGAAAATAAATAGAGCTCTGGGGATTTATCTGATGCTACCGAGTGATCACATGTGTGTGTAGCTGGAAAGAGAGCGGGGCTCTCCCTTCATTATATTACTGCCGTAACCCCCATGAAGCCAGCTTGATTAGTGCCCAGAACTAATTGGGAAAGGAACGGAGTAAATTAACTACTACAGGGCAAACGGCCACTCAGTGGGGAAGGCAGGATTTGAACATCCCTTTCCGACTTCAAAGGAGCACACCTTTCATCCTGTGCCAAGTGTCTTCTGGAGGCCTGTCCTCCAACAGCAGGGCCTGGGCACAGTGCCCAGAGTGTTCCATCAGCCCCCGTGTGGCCCCTGTAGCCCACACCTGCTCTTCTCTGCTCTCTCCTGTGGAGATTCAGCAGAGGCTTCAGATACCACCTCTCCAACTTCTCTGGGACCTACACACACCACTACTGCATCCATCATCCTGATGTGCCTCACACACCTCACCTCCCCGCTCCAGGAAAGAACCATCGCTGGCTCCCCAGTACCCTGCAAACAAAGTCTAAGTCACAGGCCTGGCATTTACAGCAGCCCTCAGCAGGCTTTTTAACTACAATTCTCAGGATCCTGCTTTGGGAATCTTTCCTCCCAGCCTGGCAAACTCATTTCCTTTGAATGCTGCAGGCCTACAGGTGTCGGCCCATGCTGGACTGTCCACCTGGGTACCCAAACTGACCTATGCTAGGGCCTGCCCCAGTAACTTCTGACTCTTGGGGATTTTCTGGCTCTGCCCATCAATGGCCCCAAGTGGCTCTCCCTGCACTTCCCATGGCAGAATGTCATTCCAGACACACGTGTGTTTCTTCCCTAACAGACCTACCTAGCATTGGGACCAGTCGCTCTGCTCCCTATTCCTGCCCTTCCGGGGCTCTGTATTTTCCTTGGGGGCTCCCAGATGCCTCAGATACTGTCCCCAACCCCCAGCAGGGCAGCTGAGAGGGTAAAAAGAACCTTCAGGCCCCTGGCCTGACCTTGCCCCCAAAAGGGGATGACCAGCAGACACTGACCTTTGACCCTGTCACCGCGATGAAGGGGGATCTCGCCGTCGACTTGGGGCTGGTATGGCTTGACGACGACAAAGAGCCTCCCGGGCACGGCGCTGTAGAGCTTCCTCTTGGGCCCCGGGTATTCGAAGGCCGAGAGTGGGTCCTTGTTGGCACCAGAAGCAAAGGGTGACCTGAGTCAGAAGAGAGGGCCAGAGAGAGAGAGAGGAGTGAGTCACAGGCCATACTCTGGACACTGCAGCCGGTCCATTTAACAAATTCTGTGCAGCCAGCAGCCAAGGTGGAACTCGAGATGCCAGATGGTGATGGAGACGTGAGCAGGCCCAGGGGACATGGCTATGGTTAAAAGAGTTAAGTCAGTCCAACTAATCCACTTCCATCCGGGTGTATCCACAGAGAACAGAAAGCAGGGTCTCCAAGAGACCTGTGTACCCACGTTCACAGTGGCCAAGAGGCAGAAGTCACCCAGGTGTCTGTAAACAGACGAGTGAACAAACAAAATGTGGCCTACTGTGGAGTATTACTCAGCCTCGAAGAGGAAGGAGATTCTGACACATGATAGGACATGGGCAGACCTTGAGGACACCAAGCTGAGTGAGACGCCCAGAAAGTCAAACGCCCTATGACACCGTTTATATGAGGCCCCTCGTGTAGCCAAACTCATGGGCCTTAACCCAGCCCAGCGATGCGAGGTGCAGGACAGAGGTTTTCACAGATGAACCTGCTAAGTGGCTTGTCCTACCAGTGTCACTGCACTGTTTGGATGGGTGATAAGAGCTGTCTTCCCCGTGTGGGCCAGTGGGCACATCCACCTCCCACCCTGGGCAGTGACAGCCAGGAAGCATCACCTCACTCCCCTTCCCAGGACAGGAGCCTTTGGAAATAAACCCACCCTCATGGACAGGGAAGAAGCTGGACAGGGACTGCAGGACCACATTGTAGAGAATTCTGCTCAGAAAGACACCAGGGATCAGTGTCTCCCAAGAGGACATGAAGCCCTGGGGAAAGAGTGCTAGATTAATGACACAGGAGGGAAGGTTCCAGAATCAGAAGCACATCTGAGTCTGGGGAGAGGGGAGGATGGATTCATGCCACAATTCACGACCGGGAGGGAGGGGTGCCCTGCTACGGTTCTCTCAAACTACAGGTGCTATGACCTCTGGGACCACAGAGCCAGCCTGGATCTTTTCATGAGAAAAGTGAAAAAAAGCCCCATTTACATGGGGACCAATGCAAAACAGGCTTGCAGAGAAATTCCAGAGGCCAAGGTGACACTCGCTTTGGTGTTTAATGTGGATCCCACATGCCTTCTGTACTATAAGCACGTACTCCTGATAAATGCTTCCAGGTTTGTCTGGGCTCGGTAAATTCACAAAGGCCAACAGCGCTGTACTCAGCAGTGTGATGGTGAGGTGTGGCCAGGAGACCCATGTGGATGTGTTTGAGGAGCCCAGGCTGCAGGTGTGAAGTCGGGGCTGTGGTAGGCTAAGTTTCAGCCTACAGTAATCTGCCAGCAAGGAGCAGATCAGGACTAAACACGAGGTCTGTCTTCCTGTCCCCAAGATCAGGACTAAACCCAAAGTCCAGACTCATCCTTATCAGTGTGGAGCATGGAGAAGGTAGGACACTGGGCTGGTCATCAGACCTCTTGTAGGACCAGTGGGAGGCTTGGGCATGTGTCCCTGGACTCCAAGGACGCTGGGCAGGGGAGAAGCTATGGGCAGCAGTGACTCACTGTCCCTAGGGCCACCATTCCTCCTCTAAGGCTTCTTCCAATCTGATCACAGCCACAGAAGTGGAGATCACAGACCCCTGGGGCATAGGTGCCCCACATGAGTTGTCACTGCCACACAGACTGAGCTCACCTTCCTCAATACTCCCTCCTTGCCTGAACAGCCACACCTCGGTGTGCGCAGCCAGTAAAATTGGCCTTGCGATTGTCCCGAGGAGCTAGTGCTCCCCTCAGTAGATGTCATTTATCCCTATGTGACACCTTGAGAAGTCCTGGAGTGGCGACTCCTCCAAGAGGCAGTTGTGTGACCTCTTGCCCCAGGCCTCGCTCAGCAAGCCAGCTGGCTGCAGAGAGCAAGGATGTGGACCTGCCTGTGCCACGCAAGGGTATGGGAAATGCAGGGGCAGCCCTGCCAGGGAGGTCCCCATCACGGAGGCGTCCCCCAGCCTGCTGTGTGCACTGCATCTGGGCTCATTCACACACCTCACTGCAGCCTGCTGTGGGGCTGGACTGGCCCAGCATAGAGTGAGTGCAGAGAATCCAGAGGGGCTAGCCGTGACAGCTCCTCTGGCCCTGTGTCTCCGGCTATCTCCAGTCTGGCTCCCACTCTGAACACAGAGGTGAGTCCTGTCCACCAAGGGGACAGCCCAAGGCTCCCTGCCCCACCAGGTGACAGATCCAGGTGACCAAGATCTCACCTGCGTATAAAGGTGCCTCAGTCCTAGGATGTCTCAGAATCACACCCTCTTGCCGGCCCTGTGGCCCAGGAGAGGCTCCCGGGAGGGGGCGGCGGGCGTGCATGCTGCGGCTCCCTCCATCCTGCCCACACCCACATAGGGAAGATGAGTCTGATGTCCACCCACCCAACCGCCCGTGCCTTCCTTATGTTCTGGCCATGAATAGCAGACGGAATTCCAACCAACAAGGGCCAGATCCCCAAATTCTCCACGTTAGAAAACTGGTACACGGGGTGACGTGGATGGTGATTTGAGCCACTTCCCAGCCGTCATGGGTGAGAGGGACCGGCCTACACACTGCACTTTCTCTCTGTTCACTCATTGTTCTGCAGGTACCTAGCAGGTGGGACGTGGGCTTGGGACTGCGCAGGTCTAACAGACCCGTGAATATGAGACATGGACGCAGCCCTCGTAGGACTGACAGGTGGCAGGACAGCAGCACGAGACAGTGGGGTCCATCTTCACATGTCCACTGGGTAGGCACAGGGTGGGGACCATAGACCGAGGTCAGGGCCTGCACAGACTTCCCCGTGTAGGGCTGGAAGAGGGGGCGAGGCCATGGGAAAGGCTCTGCTGGGACGTTCAGGGCAAAATCGATGCCATACAGACCCATGATGCCATCAGACAGGCACGAGGCCACCCTGGCTGCAGCATCAGAGCTGACAGAAGGTTTGGGTGAAGAGGGCCCTGTGGCCATCCCAGGGGAGACAGAGGGCTGGGCTGATACACAGGGTCATGGGAGAATAAGAGATACGCAATATCAAGGGGCTGAGTCACTCAGACCTGGGGACCTACTACACATTGGCCCACACAGAAGATGAGTGAAGGAGGCAGAGAGCCGCCAGCCTGGGGCTCCGTGGAGGGGGAAGGATCAAATGTAGGAGGCCCCAAGCTCAGAGCCAGGAGAGGGAACTGGACACTGACCCACAGCTGCTGTGATCACCCCAGCACCCGGGATACCTGCTCATCTCATCTACCTGAACTACCAGACACCAGCTGTGCCTCAGCTTCACTGGGCGTCATATCAGTCCTATTAAACTCTGTTGACCGGGTGGGCTGGTGTGGTCAGACTGAAGTCCCCCAGGCGCGCCAGTGCTGTCCTCCTCTCTGGCTTCCTGGGACCAGGCGGAGGATACACAGGTTGGCCTGCACACCTGTGCATCAGAGCTCACCCTGCCTCTGTTGTTCTGATGATGGTGGCCCCTGTACCTGCCCTCAGGGACTTGGGACTATCTGGAATGTCCTGTCCCACAGACCCCAGCTGCTGCTTCAGGGAGGGGAGCAGGGCTGGAACCATAGGGGCAGCCATTATCGGACTTTGGAGAAAACAGTCAGATACTCTAGGCTAAGCAAGGGGCCAGTCTGGCCAGGGCAGGGAGAGGAGCGATGTGCTCCAAACCTACCCTGAGCCCGGGTCCAGTTCACTTCCTGACAACTTCAGCGTCTGCAGAGGCCTGCCCCTCCCTGAAGCCTGGCCTGTCTCCATCTCTGGCTGGTGTGAATCTCAACCTGTGTGAGCACCAACTCTGTCACTCCACATCCTCAGTGCCAGAGACTGACAAGTCCCCTCCATCACGTCTGGTGGGGAACATGTGCATTCACTTCTGTATGGGAAGCACCTAGTAGAAACTGGGGGATCCCCAGTGGGCCCAAACTCTCCATGACACACCCCTGCTCCCCAGGTGCAGGTGACAAGATGGCCCCCCATCAGCAGGGCCAGGCCACCCATGTTATGGGTCAGGACAGGGCGCAGGGAAGTGAGCAGCAGACGCCTCCCTCATCCCAGAAAGCAGATCTCTGCTCCAATGGGAGCAAACCTTGGTGTCCTGGTTCCCCTGTCCCCAGGAAGGCAGGAGAGGGCACACGGTAGGGTACAAAGACCAGAGGCCCAAGTATCCCAGTGCTACCTGCACACACAAGCCTGATGAGAGAAGGCTTGATCCCCACGAAGGGCTTCACAGGGGAGGCAGACCCCACTGCAAATCCTGGCACCCCAGAACCTCCCAGAACCCATGTTTGCCTCTATAGGGAGCAGGTGGGTGCCCATGATTTCTGAAGTCTAATAGGTCCTGTTGTCTCTCTGCAACCCTGCTCATCAATGTGAGCAGCTGTCTCCTGCCTGGCGTCCTCTCAGAGCAGGACGATCCCCAAGGCAGATGTCACCTTCCCCAGGAAAGGGACCTGGATGCCGACCTGGATGCCAACCTGAAGCTGCTGCCATCACCCCAATGCCAAGGCCCGTTCATCTACCTGAGCTTCCCACAGTGCCGATCAGGGAAACAAAAACAACTTGAGTAACAGAGAGACTTTCCTAAGCACCTCTGGGTTCTGCCAGATGAGGCCAGAGTCTCTGGCTTAGCATTCCGTGTGCGCGCACGGGCAGGGGAGAAGGACCTGGCTCGGAGGACAGCAGTGTCCCAGCCTGACAGCCAGCAAGTGGCACTGGTGTTAACCTCCACCTACCAGACAGAAGGACCCAAAGCTTTCTCCTCTGCCCAGTTAAGCCCACCCAGGAAACCTGTGTCTGATGACATGGGGACCAGACATTCCTTCATGTGGGGTGAGGCTGGGGTGGCCCCCAAGACTGGCTGCCCAGACTTCCCCAAGACTGGTTGCCCAGACTTCAAAGAAACATATCAAGAGCCTTCTGAACCTGGGTAAGACCCATTGCCACCTGACAGAGACCGCCATAGTGGGTGACAGGAAGGGGAATGGCAGATTCAGGTGTTCCCAGAATGTTCTCAGGACCGTGGCCCCACCATACCAGTGGGTACCACCAGAGGGCACCATGCCCAGCAGGCAGACTGGGGAGGTTCCCAGGAGGAAGAGGACCCAGAGACTGTGCAGGGACAGTACTTCCCAAACCATAAGAAAACAAACTGGAAGGGACAGAGGAGAGGGAGGGATGGAAGAACTGTGACAAGCAAAGGTGGGCAGGAGACCCCAGAGAAGATGGGACAAGTGTGGGGTGTCCTCTCTCCCCAGAGGGACAGCCCTGCCACAGCCTATGGGTTGCCTGGGAGGGGTCTGGGGGACACTGATGGTTCTAAGCCTAAATTGTGGCCTCCAAGACCCCTTGGAGACCCTTTAGTTAGAAGGAACGTTGCCGAATGCTAGCTTCCAGATGGGCCAAGAGAGCTCCACGGGCAGCTTAGCCGTGAGGGCTGGCCCACTCCTGCTGGGCGCTGCGGTGGCATCTCCACCCGGGAGGCATGCCCTGCCCTCCACCAGGAGGAAGGGAATTCTGAATTCTCAGCTGGGTTTCTGGGCCTCAGATTGGTGTTTAGGCCTGGGAAGGGCGCAGAGTGGCCAGCCTGGGAAAGGGCAGAGACGCATAGAGGGGACACAGGGCCTGGTCTAGGGCCGGCCTTGCTCAGGATGCTGCATCTCCCTCCCTTTTGGCCATCTCTGCTTCTCCTGCCTCTTAGCCTAGGCCAGTGTCCACCACCTGGACAGTGGCACCTGATGTCTCCAAGGTGGCTGAGGAGGTCTTCCTAAACTGTCCACAATGACAAATCTGAGAGTGGCAGACACCAGATACGACATCAGCATGCGTTATGTCACTTAATCCTCCTCCACAGGCCCAGAATAGAGACTGGTGTCACTGATCCCACTTCACATTTGAGGAAACAGAGGCACAGAATAGTCAGGTGATCTGCCCAAAGTCACACGCCAGGCAGGCAGAGTTAGGGGCAGCCCTGAGTCTGGCACAGCATGTGGGTTGGGCAGACAGGGGCTCCCTCCACCCCTGACAGTCCCGTGGGCACGGGGAGCCCCAACCCCCACCTCCTGTCCCGACAACAACCTGAATGGACTCTGGGGGACCCAAGGCATCCTCCCCACAGTGTCCATGAGCACTGCCCAGCAGGTCCACTCTGCCCTGGGAAAGAACTGGCTTTTCTGGAAGAGCAGAGCGGGGCAGACCCAGGAGGGAGGGGGCTGGCTTAGAGCCCACCTCCTGCTGCCCCCAAAGGCCCTGAGCTGTGCTGTAAGGCCTCATGTTGCATCCTCCAGCCTCAGGGCTGCCCCCAGTCACCACTTCCCTGCCCAAATTAAGGTCATTTCTATGCCATGGGGGTGTCTCCCTGGCGAGGGCCAGGCCCTGGTCCCACAGCCAGGGAGCAGAGTCCACAGGGAGCCCGTGGCCACAGCTGGCTTTCAGGACATTCAGACACAAATGTGGTCAGCGCACCAGCCCAAATGCCCTGGTCGAATCACCGATGGCCTTGTGGCAGCACAGGCCTGCTATCTGGGGAGTTCTTGGATAACCCCGTCGAGGGGACGATGGGCACGGAGGGAATCTGTCCCTAGTGCCGCTCACTGTGTACAGACACGTCTGCACCCCTCGTGCACATGGCCCTGCACACCAAGGCAGCACCACAGTTCCTACCCTTAGCCCGGGATGCCTCCAGGAGATGCCCAAAGGGGCACGCTGCCTCCAATTCTCCATCCCACCTGCCCAAGGTGTGGGCAAATACTCCCACTGTGGTCTCCTCAGAGAGGAGGTCCTGGTTAGGACAGTGGGGTCTTGGGAAGAAAGGACCGGCCAGCTCATTGTACCCACCCAGGGCACCCTTCTCACACCTCAATTACCATCACACAGCTACCATCATCAATGAGGGGTGGATCCTGGGCAGAAAAACATGGGACAATTAATCAGGAAGATGGGGACAAAGCCAAAGGAGGCAGGCTGACGGGTCAGGGTCACCCACAAGGACAGCACTCACTGATGGGGACAGCCAGAAGCCCACACTTAGGGGACAGTGCCCTGGGTTTGCACTGAGAACAATAGCAGAGCTGGACAGCTGGTCACCCTACCCGATGGTTCTAGATGACAATGGGAGATAGTCTTGGCCAAACTCTGGGCCTTGAGTCGAACTTGGATTTGAGCGCTAGGGACCAGTGTGCACTGAGCATTTCCTAGGACAGGCGTGGGGCCAGGCAGCTGCCCTGAGCTCCTTGGTTTAATCTTGAGTCTGAGGTTGGTCTGTGCAGGATCTTTAGTTTATAGCTGACCAGGAGGAGACACAGGGCTGGCAACTTGCCTGAGGACAGCTGCACCAGGGTCCATCCAAGAACACGTGTCCGGACAGTGAGAGCTCTAGGCAGGCTGGCAGTGCGAAGATCACACACATGCTAGTGCAGACACACACTCGTGCACACACAGGCACCTCCCCCACACCTACACAGGGAGCGGGACACTCAGACAGGGTCCTTGGGATAAGCCTAGCTGCCCTGCTCTCCACAGCTACATTGTGTTTGCAGCTGGTGCAAGTCCTGGCCATGCAGCCTTCGCTATCTTATTAGATTCAGTACTGGGGGAAGGGCACTCATTCTTTTCTAAATTACAGTCATAATTCCAGCTAAGTGTGTGAAGTGGAATTGGCTTCCCCGGGGGAACCCTTTAATTTAGCTTTCCACTGTTCTCAGCACCTGGGACTTCTCCCTCAGGGCTACTTCAGGCAAGAATCTGGACCAGGGCTGGGGACTGCATCTCCTCACCTGGCTCCAGTGAGAAGTATCCATAGGCCGAAAGGGCTAGGGCTCTGCTGGCCCTGAGGTTCAGGTCTTGACCCCACCAGTGGGTGGGCAGAACTCTCACGAAGCATTCGCCCTACAACCTCCTTTCCCCTATACCTCCTCAGCAGCAGCCCTGAGACCCGGCCTGCCTGTCACGGTCAGAGCAATTAGCTCCTTCTGGGACTACATGAGGCACTGACTCTGCCTCAAACTCACACCGAATTTGTAGGATGGAGCCCCTGGGAGGGCACAGGAGGTGATCATCCCCTTCCTTGTCATCAGTGATCTTAGCAAGACTCACTGCCTTCAGGCTTGGGCCCCAGGTGGCTTCAGAGGCCAGGGAGGAGCACACTGGGGTAGGAGTCAGGGACCTGAATGCTGAGCAGTGCCATCACCAGGAGCATGTGTCAGCCAGGAGGACGCAGCCCACACCTGAGTGAGCACCCCAGACTCCAGAACTTGGGGCCCAGAGGCCTGACTCAGGGAGCTGGCACTGTGAACTCACAAGACAGCTATTTCCACGTGAGAACACGGCAGTGTCAACAGCACCAAAGACTATCGATCACTGACACTTTCATGGCTCAGACCAATGTTGACCCCAGCCCCTGAGGCCTCAACAACAAGCTGACCCCTGGGAAGTCCCTTATCTTGCCTGAAACGTTTAGAAAGCAGCGTGACAAGACTGAGAGTGTGCTGGGGAATTGGCGCTCTGAGTGCGAATCCAGCTCCTGCTGTACAGGAGGCAGAAGACCCAGTGCTGGATGCCCAAGGGGAGTGCTGGCCAAGAGGGCATAGGCAGGTCCCCTAGCCTGCCCTATGCTGACCTGTGTCCTTATCTATACAGTGGGGTGAGGAAGGGGTTCCTGTCGAAGGGGAATGCTTCAGAGACTGAGACCTCCTCGGTGCACCTGCTGAGCTGGGGCACACAGAGTCCCCTCATGGAAGCACTACTGAGACTGGCCCCACGGCTGCTGGTGAGACGGCCAGCTCCAGTGTTCTTATCTGTGCCAGGTACTGTCACTATTACCAGTGTGTGAGTTCATCTGGACACAGCGTGTCTGCAGGTTTGCAGATGTGGACTCGGGAGAGCGCTTGGTACAGACGGGACTCGCCGCCTGGCTCCCTTCCTGCCCCACGTTTGCTTTGAGCACCAGGAAGTCCACATACAAGGAAAGGAAACAAGTTCCCAGACAGCAGCAGCCCCCTCCCCCCAGAGGGCTCCGCTCAGCCTCCCTCCCACACCGGCCCAGAGCTGTAAGCGAGCACATGAGGCTCAGGAGAAGGACCCCTGGACCCCGAGGTGGTCATTTCAGATGGGACAGTGGGCAGAATATAGACTTTAAAGTTCCCTGGATAGCCGGCTTGGAATAAAATAGGCTTTCTGTTCGACCTCTGGGTGTCCCCCAGGTTGGAGGAACCAGGCTCACAGCAGGCAGAGGTCCCCTGCCCTTGGCACTCGTGGGAGCCCCACTGCCCCTTACCCGACGTGCCGGTGCCTCTTGCCATCCTCGCCTGCACCCAGCCTGTTGAGCGACGGGGACCTGCTGCGGGGCCCGGGGACGTAGTTCCCGATGGTCTTCACAGCACCATCAGGCCTGCTGGGCGTTGCCTGCAGCAGCTGCGGCGAGAGGCTGCGGTGGGAGACGGCCGGGGGGCAGACAGCCCAGTCGGGCACACTGGCGTTGAGGTTGTTGTCGCTGTTGGAGCGCAGCAGGACCCGGGGGGCGGCCAGCGTGCTGGGGGGCCGCCGCCTGCGGTTGGAGTAGGCCGGGGCCTCCCGGAAGGGCACTGCAGGGAGAAAACAGGGAGAGAGGCAGGTGAGCAGGTCATCTGAGCCGGGGTGGCACCAGCCTGCATGCGTCCGAGCCCCATGCGAGCCGGGAGAGGGGGGCGTTGTGTTCTGTGCCCGGTCTCCTGCCAGACCCCCAAGGCCCAGAACTCAGCCCTGACACAGAAACAGAGAGACGTGGTTGGGACTTGAGACGTCCCTGCTGCAGGGAGACTCAAGCAGACACTGCACATGGAAGGGACGCGGGGTCTGCACTCCCACCCAGCCAGTGCCCAGCCCTCAGCCAACTCCAACACGTGCAGACGGGAGCTTCATCTCACAAAGCAGGCAGGGTGCTGAGCTGGGGCAAAGCTCCTCTTCTTGAGGATCTGAACACGGCCTCTCCTGTGGGCTGGATTTTGACCCCCTGCCACTTAACTGACAAAGTCCTAACCCCCAGCATCTCAGAATGTGATAACATTTGGAGATAGGCCTTTACAGGGGTTATTCAAGGGCAGGTGGTCATCAGAGTAGGCCCTAATCTGGTGTCAGATTAGGCAATTAGGACACACACACACACACACAAAGGGATGACCACAGAGGACACAGGGAGAAGGTGGCCGGGCCGTCTGCAAGCCAAGGAGGCCTTGGAGGGACCCACCCTGAGACACCTTGATCCAGAGTGTGAGATGATAAATATCTGGTGTTTGAGCCACCCCATCTGTGGTGTATGCAGCCTGAGCAAACGAGTATGGACTCCAAAGCTACTGGTCACAATGAGACCCCTCAGTGCCGGCCACCAATGCTCCTTCCTCCGTCTCGTATGAGGAGGCAAAGGCAGGCACACCTTGTTTGGCTCCCACTAAAGCTCTAGCTAGCACAAGGCCCTCCTCTGCTGATTCTGTGTTCCCAGGCACTTAGAATAAGGGCAGCAACCCCCTCAGAGCCCTGAGTGATGGTGGCCACATCGCCGCAGCCCGGGGCCACTCAGAGGGCTGAGCCTGACACAGTAGCTGCCTTTCCTAAGACGAAGCATCTCCAGGAACGTGGCCTCCACGCTGCTCCGGAGTCTCAGACACCACAGACTACCCAACACGCTGGGTTCTTCCCGGCTCTTTGATGCCCAAGGCAGCTTTTCCATTGGCCACAGGATTTACACCCTGGAGGCAGACTCTACACTTGGCTCTAAAGTTTACACTGCCCACGGCCAGGGCTGCCATTCGCAAACTGTAAGCTGCAGAGCAAGAGAAGCACGTGTCCTGCTGGGGCAGTGACTCTAAGAACGGGACCTTAATGCCTCAAAGGAGAAGAATGTCAGGAGTAATTCAGTACATAAGTGGCAATGCCAGAGCTCTGGGGACAGAGGTGGTGCTGGCGGAGCTCACAGGACAGAGGTGATGCTGGTGGAGCTCACGAGGACAGAGGTGGTGCTGGCGGAGTGCACAGGACAGCCGTGACCCAGGGCGCTCTTGCTACCTGCCCAGGGTAAGGGCAGCCCAGGAGAACATGGCTGGCAGCCCAGCCTGAGAAGCCGCACAGAAAGGCACAAGGCTTCCTGGGGACACAGTTTGGACTTCGCACAGTTGGGCTTCAGGACAGTTGGTGACAATGTGGAAGTGACACACTGGGGACGCCGTCACCCACAAGAAAGACCTCATCCTGGGGACGGGGGCCTGTGTGTGTATTTTGCTGGTCATGAGGGAAAACCACACCGATTTCCCCTCCCCGTAAGAGGGCAGAGGCTTAAAAACAATTGTGGAACAAATGAGTGTTCACCAATGAGGCTTTGAAAAATGCAATTGGTCACGAGAGTGTCTGGGTGATCTGGGAACTGCCTGGCATGGGTGGGGGTGGGGTAGGGTGTATTAAAAGACTTTGCAAAGGGCTGGCAAGCCCAGAGCCTCAGAGAGCAACTGTCTTTCATTCAGAGGTCATGGCTGGAAGAGTGTACTGGTGTGAAGCACACAGGGAAGCAGAAAGCAGCCCCAGAGCTTCTCGGCTTCCCGGAACCCTAGGGTGAGCAGCCGGGCCTCTCCCTGACTGACCATGTGGCAGTGAACCTACACGACCCCCACTCCAGGAAAGACTGGCTCCTGCGACTGACACCACCCTCCGCCAAGCTCCTGCTCCCCGACAATACAGCCAAGACGCCTGTTCTGACCATGTACCTGGGGGAGGCACACCCTTAACAGCAAAGCAGTGACACCTGGGCAGAGCCCTACTGCTCGCCAAGAGAAACACATTAGGGAAGTAGAGTCTGGGCAGGGACAGAACGGACAAAATTAACCATAACCCCCAGGTGAAAATTTCATGCTGTTCACAGCTGATAACAAATAACGTCCCAGAGGTAAATTTTGGTGACTAATGTCAGACAATAGGCATAGATCAAAGGCTGGATTTGGTTTTCTTTTTAATATATAAATTCCAAAGAATCAGAGTAGAGATTTCGAGAGGGGGAAGAATTCACGTGTGTGGGGGGCGGGCAGGTACACCCTCAGAAGATTAAAGAACACAGAGCCAGGGCACTTTCCAGCACGTTTTATCCTGAGCACCAAGCAAGTCACTCAAATGGAGTCACATAGGTGACATTAGGGTGAACGTTTTAATGAAAATTACCTTGCCTGATTACCAAGATTCATATTAAATTAGTTTCCGGAGCACTGAAATTTCTTCAGTGTTTATTTTATGATGAGCTTGGGCTGAGAAGCACCTTCCTAATTTCTTTAAAGTCACAAATCTTCTGATTTCATAAACTAAGAGCTTCTGTCTGACAAAATTCATCTAACTGAAACCGTCCATGGAAATGATGATTTTTTTTTTTGTGAAAAGGGTTAAAAATAACTCTTTTCCTGTCTGAAAACGATTAATATTCCACCCAACTGTTTCCTTCTTTCAGGCAATCTGCAAACTCTTCAGTGGGTGGGTATTTTCTTAGCTGTCTGAACATGTGTTTATTTATTTATGTATATATATATATATATATATATATATTCCCCCCCACAATAAAAAATCACACAAGGTATGACAAAAAAGCATATGCACTTTTAAAGTCTGCCACACTGCCTTCTGCATCCAACTCCCTAAAACTGCAACCCGGGCACAGCCACGAAGAGCTGCGAGTGGTCCAGGAGGGCGTCCACCTCCTCCGAGCCACCAGCCATGTGCCCAACCTTCCCTAGCAAGTGCCTGGCAGCCCACTGGTAACCGGCAGACTGGAGTCAAAACTTCCTTTTTTCCCTCCGAGGACCTATTGTCCAACGTGCTCTGGGGCACAGCCTCCATGGACGGGCATTCCGGAATGCAATTCGACAAGGAGGCTGGAGGCTCCGGAGCACTGACAATAAACCACCACCTTCAACCGTGTTAATATTCCGGACCAAGTAAGACAAAACCGTTATCACGAAGCAGAAGTAATCATTATTCCCTTGCATGACACGGATTAATAGCTAGTAATTTCAGGAGGAACTGGAGTCCCTCTGTGCCCCCAAGAATCAGCGAGAACCCGCTAATTCCCCTGCCCCCGGCTCCCTGCAGACTCTTCCTTACCTTCCTTCTTGGTGAAGGCATTTAACAAAGACTTCATCTTTCCTCTGACTTTGGCAGCGGTCCGCTCATTATATAACCTTCTCGGAGGGGAGGAAGGAGACGCGTGCAGCCCAGCCCCTCGGCGCTAGAGCGGCTGGGACCCGGGGAGAGGTGGCAGGCGTCTGGGCATGGTGCACTTCCGAGCATAGCTGGGCACGCCAGACCCAGCGCGCTGGTGACAAAGCCCACCCCATATTGTGTCTGTCAGCTGGGAACCAACTGTGCATAGACTGGGGCAGTTCTCAGAGCCGGCTCCCGCTCCCGGCGCGTCATGTGAGCCCAGCTACTCTGCTTTTGTGCTCAGGGCATCTAGGCAGAGGCTCCCCCGGAGGGCTGAGGCTGACTGAGCGTCCTCAAGCTGGTGGCTGGGAAACAACAGGAGGCATTTGTGAGCTTGATCCCCAGCTAGCCAAGGAAACTCGGGCTAGTGCCGGGTGCTCCATTGCCTGTAGCTAAATATAATGCTCTGTTGCTTTTCTATTTTGTAAAAAAAAAAAAAAATCTTTCTTTAAAAAAAATGCCAAGTTTGTTTGTCAGCCAGTAAATGTGGCAAGAAAGTTAAAGGAAACAAATATCCATGCCCCCGGCGAGCCTCACGCCAGACCAGACCCACGTCCATCAGGCAGGCACCGGCACTCTGGAATTTCAGAACGCGACCCATATTTCCGCTGAAGAGAGTCAGAGCCGAGAGGACCCATTACATCTCTGCCCTCCCCTCAGCTGGTAATTACCCTGCTCAAAACCAGAGTCCACCCCTCCCACTTTTTTTTTTTTTTTTTTAAAGAGATAAGAAAACAGTTCAATGGAGACCTAGGCACTGCTGGCCCTGGTTCCCCAGGCAGCTGATTAAAAAAAAAAAGCCCTTCAGAGTCCCATTTCTTTAGCATTTCCACCCTGACAGAAGCCTAGGAGGGGCAGAGAGTCCAGCCCTTGGACGCATTGTGCTGGGAAACACTTGTCTGCACAGCACACACAGGGGGGCAGACGCAGGCGGGTGAGCTCTGCAGCAGAGCTCAGAGCTGTTCCTACACCGGGAGAAAGGTCTTCTGAAGCTCAGAGAGGCATCCCAGGGGCAAGGCTCTAGGCTCTGTGCTCTGTCTGTCGCTAGGGCTGTAATTAAGTGCATGTTTTTTCAGCTGCTAAGAGAACTGCTTCCCAAATTAAAAAAAAAAAGGGGGGGGGGAGAAACATGAGACAAGAGGAGGAAAAAGCGACTAGAACACCAAAGTTGAACTCCATATGGTCGACACACTTCGTGTCAACAAAAATGGCAGCGCAAGAAAGAGGAGGCTGGATGCAGGCTGCCAGCAGGAGTGAGGACTGGCCCTTCGTGCAGACGAGCTCAGGACAATGTGCGCCTCGCAGTGTAGGGAGTGCGTGCCCTGTCTCAGCTCAATACTTAGACATCTCCCTGATTTAACTCACGTGACTCATC